AACTATTCGATGAGTAAATATTGTTCAGAGAAGTCTGGTTTGGGGCCACAAAGGCAGATCAAGTAGATACCTAAGGTTAAAGTCTAAACCCAGGCCATGAAAATAGGACAGTCACAGATTGGAAGGGCAAGGAGTCTGGTAATGAGAAGTGACAGTACCAACCTCGTGTCAGGCGTATTAGCCCAGGGGCCAAGATACTAGCCTTAGAATTAGAGACTCTGACATTTGCTATCAGTGTGACCTTGAGCAAAGTCTGTGAACACTCTGAGTCTCAGTTCTCTCATCTGAAAGCTGGAGATAGCAATGACTATTCCACAAGGTTGTTGAGAAGATTAAATGGGAGGGTGCACGTGAAGTGCTGAGCATAGCACCTCGTGCACATCAAGTCCTCAGAGAACATATGTTAGGTCTGCTCTGCACATGCTTACTGGTCACCTACCATGTGCCAATTTTACAAGTATCCTGATGCTACTATTTTACAGTTTCTCAGAAAGGAAAGTTGTTAAGTAGTTCACAGCAAACGGTCCTAGAAGCAGGTGGGCTGAGCCTTGTTGCTTTTTGTTTTGCCTTTTGTTTTGAAGGATGCATTTTATTTGTTTTGATTGGTGAAGCAACTCACTTAGAAGCCAAGCATTGTACTGCCTGTTGTCTTCATTTGTGATCACACACACACACACACATACACACACACACCACACTGGGTTCTTACATCTGAGGATGGGACCTGAATCTCTGCACTCAGGCATACAAAGGTGCCACTCCTTATTATCTTTCTCCAGATCTCACAATTTGATCCCTATTATTTCAACTGTGAAACAGACTAATCTTTACTTCATATCACTTGCTTTATCTTTTCATTGCAGGCTATATTGTCAAAATACTGTCTTTTGAAAAAATTTATTACAGAAGGGTTGCTTGGGAAGGATGTGCTTGGAAGGGGTCACCTGTGTACCTCCCCTACATAGCTTTTTAAATGACTCTCAAACCTACCCACTGGCTGGGCCGGTGGTTAGACATGGAGGAACCGGCTGCTTGGGCCATAGCTCTTCTCCTGGCCCTGCCATAATTCAAACAGTCCTTTCAGATGATGGGAAAAAGTGCCTACAAGGCCTTAAAAAATCTTGGAGACTAATGAGATTAATAGTCTCTATTTCTTTGGGACAAGAGGGAGTGTAACTGACTCTGATGATGAAGTTTTGGATCCTCTCACTGCCTTCACACTGTCTGCAAATGTCTCAGTAGGAGACATACTCTTATCTCCCTCCATTTTTGCCAACTACTGGTGCTCTCCTCAGGAGATGGTGGTGGTTGGAAAGGTAAATGGGAGAAGGTAAATGGGAGAAGAAAATGATTGCAGTAAGGAAACACTAGCACCCATGGGTCAGACTGGGCATGGCCTTTCTTCTTCCCTCTGTCCTGAATGGCAATCATGTTTTCTTTGACTACAATGAACTTTTGCCACCTTGGTGCCTCCACAGTGGTATTCTCTGCCTGCAAAGTTCTTTTCATGCCTCAGGCATTGCCTTCTATGCCATTCTTTATCCATCTTTGGTTGATTTAAATGTTACCTCCCCAGAAAGCCTACCCTGAGCACTGCATATTTGTTTGCTCCACAGCACTTAGCACAGGGGATGGTCCCATACACTAATCTCTGCAAACCAGTAAGCTCCAGGAGGGCAGGGGCCATTTCTGACTCCCATTGGATCCCAGTGGTCAGCCAGGTACCAGGTACCTAAGAAGGTCTTGAAGTAAGCAGGTCTTGAAGGAATGACTGAACGTGTGAATTGTTGCCTCGAGGGCTCTGAAATGAACATTCAACCTTTTTAAGGTGAAATAGAGCACCTTAAAATCAGCCCCACAACCACGTCCTCCAAGTCACCTGGCTCAGGCTGAGACTGCCAACCAAAGATGCATGTCTGCAAGATGGGAAGGCATCCCGCACATGGATTCTACCTGCCACCTGGAATACTCCTGTCAAGGCCCAGGGAGTGCACTGACAGAAGAGACAAAAGGACTGGAATGGCTCTAGGTCTGTGTGTCTGATAAGTCTGAGGGAATTGGGCCAGGTCATCAGCGCAGTGGAGAAGCCAGAAACACATGAAGGTAATGAGCCCCCACAGCTGTTTTTAATGGAGACCTGATCATTCAAGGGCAACTAGGAGAGAGGAAGGACATGGTCTCTCATACGCCTAATTAAAAGTTATAAAAAGAGAATGACACATGGAAAGAGTCTGCTGAAAGAATGGAAAGGGGCCTTGGTGAGAGGGCAGGGCTGGTTTTTCCATTTAAAACAATGTCAACTGGTTGCCTGGAGCCAAAATTTAAGAGTCAAAGAGGAAAATCAACGACAGCTTGAAAGTACAAACTGAGGGCATCTGAGCATCAGATCCCTAATAATTTAACTGTGGAAAAGATTAACCTTTAATTCTCGTCACTAGCTCTATCTTTTCATTATAAGCTAATTATCATATCAGAATGCTGTCTTTTGAAAAAACTTATTGCAGAGTTCAGAAATCAGGGCAAATTCAAGGCTTTGTTTTAAAAGGATGTGGACCTTTAAATAACATTTGAATGAAGTTTTATACCAATAGTTGCTGAAAGAACATCATTAGTAGTGGAAGACATCATAGCCTGTGCTTATTATGCCCAGGAAAAGCTGTCAATTGCCCAAAGTATACACATGACTGCTGTCTGAGGTTATAGATCCAGGTGACTCAACGCTATTCTAAAGGAAGAAAATGTTTTCAGTTTTTGTGGTTTATAGTTAACATTTACTGAGTGCTTATCATCTTCCAGGAGACATGCTATGCATTGTTCATATTTTAGCTCATTCATTCTTCACCATTACTCTGTGAGGTGGATATTTTTATCCCTATCATGCAGTTGAGAAAACTGAGGCACAGAGGTTCAGAAACTTTCCCAAGGTCACATAGCTTATTAGTGTCAGAGTCACAACTTGAAATCAGTTGGTTTAACTCCATAGCTTGTGCCTTTAACCTTTAACATGTTATTCTACCTGTGAAATCAGGCATTGAACAACAGGCATACAGTAGATGTTTTCAACCCAAATGGCTATCTATTTCCACTTGTTTTTATATGAGGATGTACTGAGGCCGTGTGGGTGATAGGAAGATTAACATCTCTGACTTTAGTCATCAAACTGTTTAACTGTTCAATATATATCTAATCAACCAGCCAACCACCCACTCAACCAACCAATGAGCCAAACAACTTTATTAATCAAGGCAACTATCCAACCTACCATCAGTCCTCCAGCAAATCAACCAACCATCTACACAATCGAATAATTAACCAACCAACTAGCCGCAGTTCTCTTACTGTAAACTGGAATTAGTAAATACACCCACTGTGCAAGTGAAGAGCTTAGCACAGGGCATCATGTCACCGACTAATCAATATTATCGTTGAGTTGTGTTGTTTTTCTTTTTTTTTTTTTTGAGTTGAAGTCTCACTCTGTCACCCAGGCTGGAGGGCAGTGGCATGCTCCTAGCTATTGCAGCCTCGACCTCCTGGGATCAAGTGATCCTTCCTCCTTAGCCATCCAAGTAGCTGGAACTACAGACATGCACCACCATGCCCGGCTAATTTTTTTTTTTTTTTAAATTTATTGTAGAGATGAGGTCTCACCAAGTTGCCCAGGCTGGTCTCGAGCTCAGGGGCTTAGGCAATCCTATCGCCTTGGCCTCCCAAAGTGCTGGAATTATAGGCATGAGCCACTGCACCAGGCCAAGTTGTGTTGTTTTTGAGCTGAGCACTCCAATAAGAAAATAAATATCTCAGAGAACGAAGAGGTTGGAGGCCCATTTGACTATCCTATGAAAGGATCCCTGTATTTACTGAAAAGGTACTGATCATAAAACTTCACAGGATGTTCTTCCCTAAGGGGAAATTATTTTTGATCTGATGATCAAAACAAAAAGACAAAAAACCTGGGGCTTCTGCTGAAAACTTAATTGATTGATTCTTACTCTTTGGGTACTATGACTCATAACAACAATTATTATTTTCTAACCAGTAACCAGACCCTCTGGGACTGAGCATTTTGTGTCTTAACTTTGGCCTGGACACCCTTTTGTATTTCTATACTTGTTTTACCTTTACCTACTTTTTTGAAATCTACTTCTAATTTATGTTTTTTGGGTTAAAGTCATGTTTGATTAAGAGTTTTTAAGTCCCTGTGACAACTAGAAGTAATAAAAATATATGGTTATTTATCAAGTCTAGTTTATGTATTGACTAATGTTTAGCTAATACAGAGAGAAAGGCAACCTGAGCTGAAGTGAAGTGGCCACCATGTTTCTGCTTGTTCCAAAAGACAGAGCAGAGGGTGCAAGGCATTGAGCGTTATAAAAAATATAATTCAGAGGGAAAGACTTTGGACAGAGGCAAAGTTTTTTCTTCCATTGCTCATGTATAAAATTTAAATTCCTCCCCTTGAGAAAGACAGAGAAGAGAATAGTGAAGAGAGCTGCAGAAGGGACGCACTATGCTAAAAAGACAATTTCTGAGTTTTAAACTCCTTGATGCTTGGCTTGCTTGTTACATGAAATTAACTGAGTCACTTAATTTCCCTGATCTTCCTTTTTCTTATGTGCAAAATAGGTCAATGATCCCTACTTATTTCACTGGGTTGTTACAAGAGTAGAAAGGGATAAGGCATGGGGAAAAAACTTTGAAAATTACTATGTTAAATTTCAAGTGGTAGTAGTTTGCATTATTTCCTATAAAATGTCAAAATTCCAATAGCGCTGTCCATGAGACAATGAAATGAAAGCACTTTTCCAGCTCTTATAAACTATCTGATGGGGGTTGGAGGGGAAAAGAAAAAAAGAAGCACAGCAAATGTCCTTTATTTATTGAAGAGTGATCCAAAGTGATGTGTCAACTTGGCTCTGTTTATTGCAACTTTCCCTGTCAGAAAGCACCACCTGTCACCTCCCCTTGGCCAGGGTAGAAACAAGACCAGGAGGCCATCTTACCTCGTCATCACAGCTGATGGAGCATTTGCCATCCAGAGAGGCACACTGTGTGGGGGAAAAGCAAAGGGAAAGGTGTCACTTGGACATCCCAGCATCTGTTGCTGCCACCTAGATATTCGAGGACAAGCTATCAAATTCATGGCTTGTAATGCAAATACCAAATTTCATCCAAAAGGAATGCTCTAAGGTGAGTCTTGTGCTCCTTCTCTAGAATTAATATCAACTGCAAATCGCAATGTAAAAAACATAAAACAATGGGGGGGGTAGGCTCTTTTTCATCTATTCTAATTTATGCTGTCATTCAAGACTGATGATGTCTTTTTAAGATCAAATCTTTTGGTAAAAAGAAATATATTTAATTTTATATTAATTAATTTTCAATGACTTTTAAGAAAAAGCACTGTGTTCCTAGTTTATAGCGTCCCAAAGTAACTTAATTTAAAACATGATAAACTGTTCTAACATTTAGAATTGGGTAGATAGAGGCAATTTCCTAGTTGCCACTTCTACGGAATTGCTGAACAAATACTACGCAGATCACTTAATCATAGAACATAGCAAAAGGAGAGAATAATCCCAGATTCACCAAGGCAGAATAGCTCTGAGAAGACCTCTGGACAAAGAAGGCAGATATATGCTTTGACCAACATATTTTATACAAAGGTCTTCAAAATTTTGATAATGAGATTCACAAATAAGTAGCCAGTCACCACAACAAGATTAGGGGAAAGTCACTGTGAAAACCTCACAGAAGTCTCCAATATTTATAATAAAAACTTCTTTAGAAGGTCATTCTCTTGATTCCACAATTAAAACTGTTCCTAGGAGCAAATTCCTTGCTTTGCTCAGCATGTGGTGTCTAACATGCTGACAGCCCTTTATTTTTCAGTAAAATGGAAGGTAATCTGACCATTTGGCAGTTCATTTTACAAACATTCATCGGAAATCTGGCACTTTTAGGCTCCAGGTACTCAAATGCGAACACTTGTATAATAACAGTGTCGCTAATGCTTCAAGATGCTGATTATAACTTACCTGTCTGCTGGCAGTCCAGAACTTCCTTTGGAAAAATTCAAGTTTCATCTGAATGCCTACAGCTGGGACAAATTATAAATAAAACAAGGTATTAGATATCCCTTTACACAATTATTTAAGATTACATTGAAAATTATCTGTTGCGGTGAAAAGCTGATATAAGCATGTCAGACAAAATTTACAGTGAAGCATACAACTAAACAAAAACCATTTTTTCTTTCAGTAAGGAATTCTCAAGGTTACCTGTACCCATAGAACTCTTGATACAGAACACACTACACACAGTGCAGGTGGCTCTTTGGAGACATGTTTAGTGTTTCTAAAATTTATATACTTGTCTATTCATACACTAGAGCCAATCATGGCATGGCTGCAATACGCAGAATGTGAATAATCTCTGAAATGCACCACTTCCTTACCTGGACTCATCCTGCTTTGCCCCAAATGTCCTCCATCCTCTGGAACATAAACCCTCCAAGAGCAGGGACCTGTTCTTGTTCCTTGCCAGACCCACATTCCCAGCAAGGTGCAGAGTACATAGATGACCCATCAGTAAATGCTTGTTTTTTTTTTTAAGCTTTCAAATGATATTATAGTCAGCAGTTGCAGAGAAATGTGAAAGAGAAACATCTATATGAATTATAATCACACATAAATAGAGGGTTCCTCAGGGGTGGTTGTCAACACATTAAAGACCACATGGGGAATATTAAGAGAAAATACTGATGCCTGCGTACCTTCCCCCTCTCCACCAAGACCATTTAAATGAGAATTTCTGGGGGTGAGGGCCTAGGCATGAGTATTTTTTAACAGTGCCCCACGTGATTCTAATGCACAGCCACAGTTGAGGGTGTCTGCTATGCAGTTTTTAGTAAACTGATTATTGAGGACCTACTATAGCATGGGCCACTTGGCCAGACTTCAACATGAGCTGCTCTCCCCAGATTTAAAGAACATTTCATTGGATGCCCAAAGGGAGCTGATTTTGGAGTTTGAAGCCTGCCAGCTGTATTTCAAATAAATCTTATCTTCCAAATGCCTGACAGGCCAGGAAGCAGGGTGCAAACCAGGATGCAGGCTGGGTTTTGCTCAGATCCACCAACAGGCAGAGGTGACTGCCTGCTCTGTGCTAAAGAACAGGCAAGGAACAAGTGTCTTCGGTTTCTCCAAAAACAGGCAGGGGCCAGATGAAAACTGACTTCAGAGCAGAAGTCCTCAAAACTGTTGTAGCAGCCAATGACCAATATCTAAGAAGAGGGTGGAAAATGAGTATATCTTTCTTCATCTGTGTCTCTCTACAACTCCCTCCTGTACCATTCCTGCCCAGTCCAGTCAGGCTGGCAGGCAGAGAGTAATTCTAAGACCACTTCTCAGGGCCAAGGGCTAGCTGCAAGGGTAAAGTATGAGGGCTCCCTAAAGGAGTCACTCCATGGGAGCTTCATCGTATTTCTTGTTCCAACAGCCCAGAGCTGCACCAGGCCCACTCGTCATTTCTTGAGCTCCTCCATCAGCCACTTTGCCCTTTCTGAGCCTCCCTCCCATCTCTGATGGAGCCTTGACCAGCCTGATGAAGCCAGCTGCTCCCTCCTGGGTGTTTATCCATCTCACATACTTGCAGCCTGCTATCATCTGCCCGGTGGGTCCTGTACCCCAGCTCCTCCGGGTGCTTTAATCTTTCCTCATGACTCAGTCCCTCCATCCCATTAATCATGCAGGCTGCTTCTCTCTGATCTCTCTCCAGCAGGCTGCATCCTCGCTCTGGTCCTGATGCCCTAAACAAGACACCACTTCCCTGGTTCCTCACACACACCCCTGCATGAGCCACGAGGTTGTTACCCAAGGGCTCACAGATAGTCCTGGCTGCAACTGGTCTTCTCGGTTTTGAACTGGCCATGCTCCTGCTGGCTGACTCCTGTGCCCCCTCCAGGAACACTGGTCCCTGGCTTCCCGTGGCATATCTAGGTTTGCAGTATTTCCACCTACAAATTACTGCTACTCTCCGATGACTAAGAGACTCACAGTTCCCTTGGTGGGTTAGCTTCATGACCATTTGATCAGTGGCCTTTGCTGTGCTGAGCTTTATGCTAGGTACTAAGGGGATGGGGTCACAATGCTCCTTCAGCATCTAGTTGAGTAGTAGCTTCATGGTAAAAGCTACATTTGAGGCATAAATGAAGAACTGTGGGGTGCAGAGGATGGGGCCGGCTTGGCCTGGAGGCTGGGGTGAAAGTGAGAGCTTAGTGTAAGCTAAGACATGGAGATCTAACTCATAGTAAAGTAAGAACTGAGGGAAAATGGCCATCCGAAATGGAAGAAACAGCATGGGGAAAGGGATAGAGGTTTTTAAAAGACCATCGTGTGTTCTGAGGCTTGAGAAGCATGGGAACGGGGGACCTGGTTTGTGCAGGCTGAGATCAAACAGCAAAAGGTCTTGTGTGTCAGGCCAAGCATCTAAAGAGTGTCCTATAGGCCAGAGATGGGTCCAGAGGCCAAATCCAGCCTCTTTTGTAAATAAAGCTTTATTGGGACACAGCCACACTCATTTATATACTGTCTATGGCTCCAATGGCAGAGTTGAATCATTGCAACAGAGACTGCATGGCCCACAAAGCCTCAATTATTTCCTATTGATCCTTTATAGAAAAAGTATGCTGCTGCCTGCCATAGGTGCCATTAAAGATCTTTAAGTAAAGAGGCAGCAGGAACAGATTTATATTTTAGAAAGTCTACTTTGAAATCTTTTGGAGGAAGTGCTAGGAAAAGGGCCTGGAAGATGAGAGAATGAGACTGAGACGAGTTAGGTAGCCACAGCTCCTTGGGGATTAGGCTATTACTTAAGCATGAAAATGACTTAAAGTGTAGAAAACAAAACAAAACAAAAAGAACATGAACACCTTCCCCTCCCCATCCTAACGAACAAGAAAATACACAAAAATGCTTAAGAGCATCCTGTGGTCAACTCTATTCAGAAAAGCAAATATGACCTACCACTTACAGAAATTTAGCTTTCTTTCACTATTTCCCTTTGTTTTATTCCACATGCTTTTTCTCTTTTCAATCTTTATCAGAGAAAAGATTACTGCTTTAAGCAAAAAGTCCTCCTCTCTCCCCTCAGCCCTCACATAACCTAAATGGAACCTGAGACATTTGTCAAGCCCATCTATTTTGTTCTTTCAACAACATTTCAAGCCATAACAGTATATTCTGATTCAAGTCAGTCTTGCTAATTTAATAAGGAAAACAAGGCCAGAAAATGCTTTAATGAAACCCAAGTCTCAAGGAGAGTGCAGAAAATAAAAACACAGGGTTTGAAATTTTTTAGACAGTCCAGAAAATCATCAACATATTTCCCCTGGAGTCCATGGTGCTCCTCACTTTGATTTGATTACAGATGCTCCAGGACTCCCTGCTAGGAATCTTCGTCACATGGATGCAGGCAGCGTCCCTCTTCACAACAACATCTGGTGGTGTCTTACCTCCCCAGAGCAGAACAGGTCCAGAAAAAATTCTCCCATAGGGTTCTTCCAAATGTGCCAATATAGGATGACCCTTCTAGGACAGCGACCCTAAGATACTGGGATGGTCTTTGAAAACCAATCAAACAGTAAAATTGCTGTTATGAGAAGTGCCATCACAAAGAGCCCAGAACGCTTTCACAGGAAATATGAGTATATCAAGCACTGACAACTCTTTTGGTCTGAATTATCCATGTGACTGTTCTTGCAGCTTATTTCATTACTCTAAGAGGGCCTGAGAACAGATAGCAACTTAGCAATATAAATCACGGATCTTCCATGAAGTATCCTCCTTCCAGACTTCCTCCTTTCCCAATTTTTTTTTTTTTTTAGTTTTTTGAGTTTGGAGTCTCACTCTGTCACCCAGGCTGGAGTGCAGTGGCATGCTTACGGTCACCACAGCCCCAACATGCTGGGCTCAGGCGATCTTTCCGCCTCAGCCTTCCAAGTAGCTGGAACTACAGGTGCACACTACCATGCCCAGCTTATTTATTTATTTATTTATCTATCTATTTATTGTAGAGATGAGGTGTCACCGTGTTGCTCAAGCTGGTTTCAAACCCCTGAGCTCAGGCAATCCTCTCGCCTCGGCCTCCCAAAGTGTTAGGATTACTGGTTTGAACCATCACACCCAGCCTTTTCCCAACTTTCTAGCATCCTTCCTATCTGCTTTTTCCCTCCTTTCTTCTAGTCCTTCCTTATTAGAAACTCAGTATCTGCTAGGTGGAAGGTATATTGAGAAAAAGATGTGAGGGACACAACAGCCAGGCATGGGGTTCTGGGGCGAACAGTCAAATTCCTTAAGAGAGATTTATACTTTGGCATTCTCAGAGCTGACATAGACAAACACAAGGGATCAGCCAAGCATCAAAACACATAGAACGTTTGATTTGCAGAGTGGCAATGATCACTGCATTTGAATCTAGGAATAGGCAGCTGACCTTGAATGCTCTGATCCTGTATTGTCCAATTTGTTGGCCATCAACTACGTTTAAATAAAAATTTATTAAAATCAAATACAATTCATAATTTTATGTAATTAGTTACACTAGTCACATTTTAAGTGCTCAGTGGCCCCACATGGCTAGTGGTTACTGTTCTGGACCGTGCAGATCTAGAACATTTCCATCACTGCACAGAGTTCGGTTGAAGAGTGATCAGTGATCACAGAAAGGACCACAGATAATTGGACACTGACTGCATGAAGGTGGCTTATGCCTATAATCCCAGTTCTTTGGGAGGTAAAGGCGAGAAGATTGCCTGAACCCACGGTTCGAGACCAGCCTGGGCAACACGGCAAGACCTTATCTCTACAATAGATCCAAAAAAAAAAAATTATCTGGGCGTGGTGGTGCATGCCTGTAGTTCCAGCTACTTGGAAGGCTGAAGCAGAAGGATTGCCTGGGTCCAGCAGGTCAAGGCTGTGGTGGTTGTGAGTGTGCCGCTGCACTCCAGCCTGGGCAACAGAGTGAGGCTCTGACTCAAGCAAACAAACAAATAAATAAAGCTGGAGAATTGGACACTGGTGCTCCTTAATAATTGAAGAT